AGTAACTCAATTTGAGATTCTCAGTTTTCTTTCTATTTTTCAAATGATAATGATAATGATAATTTCTTTTGTAATTAGAATTTCTCTATAGTTTTCCCTTTTTTTTTTCTACAACAAACCCTAACCTTTCTTCAAATTTCTATATGGATTTTCTTCTAATTTTCTCTCTAATAACAAACCCTAACCTCTATTCTTAAATAGAAATTTGTCAAGATCTTCTTTTATTTTCTAATAACAAACCAAAACTTGATGCTTTGTCATTCAAATTTCTATATGAGTTATTTTATATATATACATATATATATATGTATGTTATTTTGACAAACTATAACCCATAGCACTGTATTTTTATTTTAAGGAGAATTTGTCACATTAGGGAGGAGGATCAAGCAACAAGGGATCTTATTGTGAACCTTAATGTTAGTAATTTTGGTTCATTTTTTTTTTATTCTAGACTAGATCCTTAATATTAGATTTGTAAACTTACTTTTTAGAAACTTGTAAAATGATATTCTATTTAATATTTTTTTTATTGAACTTGGATTTATATGCAGGATGATCTTCACATAGAGGATGCTAATGTTATTCCCATAGAAAAATTTAGAAGATAGTCCAATATCAAAAGATAAGGGAGAAAGGAGGAATCAAGATTTTGAAGCGCACCAAACTTCTGTGGTATGTCAAACACTTGACTAAGTTTTTTGAAAAAGGCAAAAAGAATGCAAAATGTAACTACTGTGGAAAGATCTACTATGTTGACTCTAGGCTTAATGGCACCTCTTCAATGAGAAATCATATACCTGCATGTAAAAAGAACCTTGACATGTTAAAAAGTCACAAAGTGCTTTGTTTGAAATGGTATTATGTTGCTGGAGATGGTGGGGATGGACAAGGTGTTACTCAACTGACCTCTTGGAAGTTTGAAGAAAAGGTTGTTAAGAGAGTTTTGGCTAAAATGATTATAAATGAAGAGAATCCATTTAGCATTGTTGAAAAATTAGGATTCAAAAGATTTTGTGAAGTTGCTTTGCCCCTAGTTTCAAGCTTCCCTCCAAAAGGTGTATAACCAAACTTTGTTATTGAGTCTATCTTGATGAGAGAGTAATCTTTAAAAACTATTTTAAGGAATTAAAGCAAAGAGTCTCCTTAACCACTGATACTTGGAGCTCACCAACCCAATTATCTTATATGAGTTTAATTACCCATTTCATTGATGATAATTGGAGGTTGTATAAGAAAACACTTAATTTCTACCTTGTTGATTCTCATAAGGGAGAAGAGTTAGGTGACTTGGTTGAAACTTGCTTGAGGGATTGGGGACTTGAGAAAGTGTATACAATAATTGTTGATAATGCATCTTCTATGATAGAGTTGTGAGGGTGCTTAAGAATGTTTTAAACAAGTGGGGTACAAGTGTTCTAGGTGGGGATGAACTGCACATGAGGTGTGCAACACATATCATTAATTTGGTTGTATAAGATGGAGCCAAATTGATGAATAATTCCATTGCTTTTGTGAAAGCTGCTTGCAAATTCATTAGGCAGAGTTCCCAAAGAACAATAAGGTTCAAGGAGGTTTTTGAGGTTGAAAAAATTGACTGCAAGAAGCTGTTGTCCTCGGATGTGCAACATAGGTGAAATTCTTTATACTTAATGCTTGATACTGCAAAGAAGTTTGAAATGGCATTTGAAATGTCAATTTTATCCATTTAAAAAGTTTACTTGGCTTATTTTCATGTACTGTCTTCATTTTATTAAGTTAATTATCTTCTTTTTATATTATTTTATTATTATAAATTATAATCATTCTAATAATTTAGTTTTTGTCTTATATTTTCATATATTGTCATCATTCTAATAGTTTTTTGTTGTACAATTTGAAGG